GCCAGGGTTCCATGGAACATTAGGGTTCCTCCAGAGGTTGCTAGGGGTTCCTTGAGCAATTTATGCCTCTCAGATAGGTTTCCACTGACACCATGGATTTTTTTAGCTACCTGTAAGGGGTTAGTTTTTCCCATTGATCAGTTGTAAGGAGTATTCTTCCCACTGACCATCACACTAATGTTTTATGAGTTGTAGATCTAGTCATTTTTAGCAGGGGTTCCCCAAGACCAGAAAGTCTTTTCAATGATCCCTGTGTTGATTTTTTGTAAAGTAGAGCAGCCTCTCAACCTTTAAAGATATAGACCCAGAATTTTAATTTGTAGCCAAATTTGCTGTAAGCCAATCAGTTGGTACCATTCCAATAAGTAAAGTGTCCTTAAAAAAAAAATAGCAGTTTGGCCATTGAAAGCTTAAGCCATCCGCTCCCACAGCTCAACTCTCCAATGAGTGCTGGGGGGCAGAGCAAAGAGCCAGAGACACAGTCCCAGAGAATACCCAATAACTGAGCAACCAGCCGTGTTTGATCGCTCAGTTCTCATTGTAGAGCTGGACAAGTTCAGCTGCAGCATCTAATTATTGCTGCCTCTAAATAGATGAGTATTTGTTTACATTCGCTAACCTAATCTACAGCCTGAATCACTTAGGCATGTAACATTTTCAAAAAAGAGCCGGCAATCACAGCGCCATGTCTCAGTACTGTAGGAGCACATGGTTACAATTGTGCTGCTGTTTTATATAAACTTTCCATAAGAGGTCACTATAGCACTTTGGATATCGGTTTGCTATTCCGTTCCAAGGTACAGTACCAGCATATGACAAAAACCAGCAGAGTTGGAAAATAGTACTGCACTCCTTAATGTCTCACTTTTACCCCCTTCCTGTCCATTGCAATTTTCAAAGCTCTAGGCAATTTTAGAAGAACACTGCTAATGAATTTAATTTCCCTTGGAGACAGCTCTCAAAAAACTTTGCAGTTCGTGGTATTTATTCACCGCTGGGATTTTTATTTTTTGCTATGTAAAGGTGGTCCTGCCTAATTTTGGGGTGTTTATAAAATTTTGCAACAGGTGGTTTTCATCATAAGTCATGGCCAGGGCAAAGTATGAAATTGCAGTTATCTTTTTTGCCCAAATTAGTTTTATAACCAAAAATTATAATTTTAAAACTTTATTTTTTACATTTTTATATTGTATTACTCATTTTATTTTTTTTTTTACATACTGTCACCCTAGCAGTACAGTGTCAAAACCATGGTGACACTGTACTATTGGGGGGTGATGAATTTTTTTTTTTTTTTTTCTTTAACACGGATTGCTTTTATATCCTATATGGGTGTAAAAGCAATAATTTCTGTCTGCATTCTTGCAGCCATTGAGAACAACTGAGTGAGCTGTGATTGCTCACAGCCTGTCACATGGTACAAGTCTGTTGTCAATAGCCTTGGAACCATGTGAATTATTCACAGATTTCACACGTAGTAAGCAATGATGTCAGAAGTGACATCTTGCTTACTACTTTGCATGTGATCACTGATTGGCCAATCAGCTATACATGATTGGGACGGGACCTCGTACAGAGGTCCCGTGTGACGATCAGTGTTTCATTGTGTCCGGAGAGGACCAGCGGGCACCAGATCGCGGTGCTGCGTGCTCCTGGGGAGTACGCACAAGCCGGGTGCGGGGAGGCAGTTTGTAAACGGCCACCCGACCCTGCAGTGCCACTAGTCCACCGTTTATATACAATGGCTGGTCGGGAAGTGGTTAATTTCTCTTAAAATGGCAATTTTAGAAAATGCTAATGGATAGAAAGTCCCTAGAGGCTCTCATGCACAGTGCTGGATTGTGATGGAACTCAGGTAAGTATTAGGGGGGCCAAAAACACACAGGTGGTTTTCTACCTTCATGCAGTGCCAGGACAGCCATTGAGTCATCCAGCGCACAGTGCAAAGATGACAAATTGTGCCCTCCCCCTTCCTTCATGATGTGCAAGCTTAGGGGACCCTTTGCCCAGCAGTCACTTGTCAAAAGCACTGCTGCTGTAAATACTCCTGTCAGCCTTGTAACAGAAGGAAGGCACCCCCCCATCCCTACAGTAAACCATTGCGCCCAGGGCAGCTGACCCTCCACCCACCCCTGTCCCAGCTCTGCCTGCATGCATGGAATGCATGTACGTAAAAAACCTTGAGGCTTTACAACCACTTTAAGTATACAGTATGTCAAGCAAAAAAGTTTCTAGTTTTGGATAAAGTGTGGAAAAATTAGAACCCCCCGTTTGTTGTTTGCTGCTATATCCATGTCAGTTAAAGAGATGTCTAGTGGTTTTACTAGACAGGAGAAGTGAGGAAAAAAAAAAAAAAAAAAAAAAAATCTGATATGGCTAGCTATTCCCTGTTCTAGTAAAGAAAGCCATTTTTTGCATTTTTTTTTATTTTACTCTACATTGTAGCAATCTCCTCAAAATAACAGCAGCCATTAATGTCTAAACTGCTGGCAACAAAATGAGTACACCCCTAAGTGAAAATCTCCAAATTGGGCCCAAAGTGTCAATATTGTGTGGCCACCATTATTTTCCAGCACTGCCTTAACCCTCTTGGGCATGGAGTTCACTAGAGCTTCACAAAGTTGCCACTGGAGTCCTCTTCCACTCCTCCATGACAACATCAGAGCTCGTAGATGTAGAGACCTTGCACTCTCCACCTTCCGTTTGAGGATGCCCCACAGATGCTCAATAGGGTTTAGGTCTGGAGACATGCTAAAGAAGCTGACCTTAAAGGCGATTGACTGGCCAAGCAAGGCAGTGGTAGTCTTGGAGGCATGTTTAGGGTAGTTATGTTGGAATACTACCCTGTGGCCCAGTCTCTGAAGGGAGGGGGATCATGCTCTGCTTCAGTATGTCACAGTACATGTTGGCATTCATGGTTCCTCAATGCAATGAACTGTAGCTCCCCAGTGCTGGCAGCACTCATGCAGCCCCAGACCATGACACTCCCACCACCATGCTTGACTGTAGGCAAGGCACTTGTCTGTGTACTCCTTACCTGGTTGCCGCCACATGCTTGACACCACTGAACCAAAAACTTATTCGGTTCAGTTGGTCTCATCAAACCACAGGACATTGTTCCAGTAATCCATGTCCTTAGCCCGCAAACAGTTTTGCTGAAGACAAGCAGACTTTGTGTATAATCTTTAGAAGAGGCTTCCTTCTGGACCGACAGCCATGCAGACCAATTTGATGCAGTGTGTGGTGTATGGTCTAAGCACCGACAGGCTGACCCCCCACCCCTTCAACCTCTGCAGCAATGCTGGCAGCACTCATACGTCTATTTCCCAAAGACAACCTCTGGATATGATGCTGAGCATGTGCACTCAACTTCTTTAGTTGACCATGGCGAGACCTGTTCTGAGTGGAACCTGTCCTGTTAAACCGCTGTACAGTCTTGGCCACCGTGCTGCAGTGCAGTTTCAGAGCAACAATTCTTTTTTTCAGATCCTCAGTTCTTTGCCATGGGGTGCCATGTTGAACTTCCAGTGACCAGTATGAGAGTGATACCAAATTTAACACCTGCTCCCCATTCACACCTGAGACCTTGTAACACTAACGAGTCACATGATCTTGGGGAGGGAAAATGGCTAATTGGGCCCAATTTGGACATTTTCACTTAGGGGTGTACTCACTTTTGTTGCCAGCAGTTTAGACATTAATGGTTGTGTGTTGAGTTTTTGAGGGAACAGAAAATTTACACAGTTATACAAGCTGTACACTCACTACTTTACATTGTAGCAAAGTGTCATTTCTTCAGTGTTGTCACATGAAAAGAAAAAAAATATTTTACAAAAATGTGAGGGGTGGACTCACTTCTCATATCTGCTACAACTCTGGGAGATACTGAGTATCTGTGCCCCTTTTTCTATTTTTTTCCATACTGGCCTACCCCAGCCCCTAGGGGTCTGCACAGCACTGCCTTTTGGACTGAATTGGGTTTATGAAGATCCGTGCAATATGGCATTTTATGTGGCGCAGAGGAGATCTTTTTTTATTTTATAGTTCCATACTGGCCTACCCCAGCCCCTAGGGGTCTGCACCCACGGATCAGTGTAAAAGCAGCACTGCCTTATTGGACTGAATGCCAAGGTTTATGAAGATCCGTCCACATATGCCATATCTGGCCCTTTGAGCACAGGAGGTTTCTTTTTCTGAAAATAGAAGTCTATGGCTCAGTGCAGCTATCCTGCAGGAAAGCCACAGGTGCACTGTGCTGCACCCATGGATCAGTGTAAAGCAGCCTAACCACTTGTTTTTGCCAATATGCCCATTGCAAAAGTGCAGTGTATGTGATGTTTAATACACTGACCCTTTCCTCTTCCAGCTTCTGCTGGCACCACTGTCCAAGCTGCAAGAAAGACCCAGGAGAAGAGCACTTTGTCATCACTCCACCAGGAGTCGGCGCTACAGAGGGAGCATCGGTTTATGCGGTTCCTGCTCCATCTGTAGCCACCTGTTTCTTCAAGGACACAAGGGTCGGTGCCAGCTCCATGCATTCTGATGCTCTGGGATGGTAGGTCGGCAACCCATTGATTGCGATCTGGGCTTGCTGACCCACCATCCCAGAGCATGGGCATGGCTCCCCTGGTTTGAGTCTGGGCACATCAGAGGGCTCCACAGGCCATGGGTTGAACACTCCTGCCCTACACTAACTGATAACAGAGGGACCACTCATGCCCAGAGCTTGAAGTAGAAAAGAGTGGCTGAAGTGGCCAGAGGAATAGGGTAATATACAGGGGTGGGGGGCATTGCAAGGATATAGGTCATCTAATCCCACAGTTCAACTTTAAAACCCCTGCAACTCTGGTTCTATTACTTTGCACAATCAGCAAACAGCTGACAGACGTGAAGTTTAGCTTGCCATTTCCACCCATTACTGCTATGTGAATGCATAAAATATTTCATTTGTAAAAATGTAATTACTTAAACAAGTTCTATCTCAAAGGGTGCAGGGGTCACCTTTAGTCTGTGGGGAGAAGCACCATGGGACATTAGGATTGCTGGAGTCGAAGCAGCAGCCTTTGGAATGGCATTCGGTCGCACTGATCCCCGAGTAGCCGCAGTCTTGCCTTTGGTTGGAAGACACTGCACTGAGCGTTATCTGGTAGATAGATGACACCAATCACATAATAGATCAGACAGAGTTCACTTGTACTGCCTATATATCCATAAACTGCGCACTTGACAGACAAAATACATGGATGATCAAATACAATATATGTTATTTGGCTTTATTCTCAACATTTATACACAATTTATATGCATTTTTAAAGCTCATTACCAGCTGTATAATGTAGCACCCTCCTATCTAGGTTGTTAGGAGGCGCCATAAAATTTAATTTTTTGGCTCCTCTGTAATCATTGGAAGAGATGTTAATTTCTTTGGGCTGTTCTAGATCTCAGAGGCTGCAGGTTTGATTGCTACCCCATGCCTTCTAGAGGCTTCTGGAACATAGGGGGCTGGGAGAGTCAAATGAGCAGCTTTAATTATATTGTGCTGCAGCCAATCCCTGGGGAGGTGTGCCCAGTAGGTGGCTGGAGGACAATAGTCTGGGACAGCTGTGTTCTTGTCCTGCTAGACAAGTTCTTGCCTCAGGGGCCTTTTGCCCCCTTTGAGACAGCTTGCTGATTTGCTGCAGTTTGAAGTCCCAGCTGTGGCAGAGCTGGGGGGGGGGACCTATTCCTAATCAACTTTGAAGCCAACTAAGCAGGGGCTGGCTCTAACCTGTCTGATGTGGGGTGCAATAGAAAAAATTAAGGGGGCAGAAGATGGGAGGTCAGCATACAATACTTAACTTACAGTAATCAGTATAGCATCAACCAAGGACAGTATAGTGCCAGGCTAGGGCAGTATAACATCCAATTAGGGCAGTAAAAGTAGGCATGCAATTAGAGTGGTATTGTGGCAGGTTAGGGTTGGCTGGGGGGAAGGGGTCACAACCAAAATTAGGGTGGCTGGGGGGGGGGGGGGCATAGTCCATCCCAGCAGCCCCCTAGATTCGGCCACATAACTAAGCAATTTCACCTAAGGATCTGGTCTGAAGAGCTTACTAAAAAAAGAGTGCCTGGTGGAAGTTGGAAAGTATGTAGGTGCCCTGTAGATGAGTATTAACCTCCCCCTCACTTAGGAGTGTGTCTGGTGGAAACTAGGAACTCATTCAGTTGTCCTGGGACATAGAGATGTCTGGAGAAACTGGGGTGACGTTCAGCTGTCCTGGAGAGACATTGTGAGAATAGACGTGAGCATAAGATCCAAGCGACTGTCCTTTTTTTATTAAAATTTTAAGAGAAAAGGGTTACAAAACAGGTAGCATTTGGGCATCTCCCCCAATCCCATGTTCTTACTTTCCCCTCAAGAGAGAGAAAGAGAGAGAGAAAGAGAGAAAGAGCCTGAAATAAGAGAGGGTTCCAAGAGAGAGAAAGAGAGAAAGAGAGAGAGAGAGAGAGAGAGAAGAGAGAGAGAGAAAGAGAGAGAGAGAGAGAGAGTACTGAGGATGAGAGAGAGAGAGAGATAATTTAGAGAGATTCAGAGAGAGAGAGAGTGTTTTAAAGAGAGAGAGAAAGAGAGAGAGAGAGAGAGATAGAGGCTCAGAGAGAGAGAAAGAGAGAGAGAGAGAGAGAGAGAGAACCGCATCTCACTTCAGAGAGAGAGAGAGAGAGAAGAGAGAGAGAGAGAGAGAGAGAGAGAGAGAGATAAAGAGAGAGAGAGAGAGAGAGAGAGAAAGGAGAGAGAGAGAGAGAAGAGAGAGAAAGAGAGAGAGAGAGAGAGAGAGCTATGAGATAGAGAAAGAGAGAGAATAGCCTTTTTTTAGAGAGAGAGATTTGCAAGAGAAACACTAGAGAGAACAGTTTGAGAGATTGTGATTTGCTTGAGAGAGAGAAAAGAGAAAGAGAAGGAGAGAAAGAGAACAAGGAGAGAAAGAGAGTTTTTTGAGAGATGAGAGAGAAGTGAGAGAGAAAGAGAGAATTTTTAAAGAAAGAAAGAGAGAGAAGAGAGAAAGAGAGAAAGAAAAAAAAAAATTGAAAGAGTCAAAGAAAGAGAAAGAAAGAGAGTTGAAAGAGAAAAAAGAGAGAGATAAGAGAGAAAGAAAGAGAGAAAGAAAGAAAGAAAGAGAGAAAGAGAGAAAGAAAGAAAGAAAGAAAGGTTCAGGCACCGAGAGGACTGATAACCATAGGAAAACTCCTAGGGCATAAAAACACATAAATCATACCACCGACATTTCCTAGCGCTCTAATCATCTGATGGGCATTTTGAAGTAGCTGGTGTCTACCCAAAACTGAAATATCGATTTTTGACCATTAAAGAGTGTAAAGCAAAAACTAATGTTCCTAGTGTAATAACCTACAGCAACCAATTACAGTAGGGTTTGGGTTACTCAACTTACAGGACATGTAGCCAAAACTATAAGTCATTAACTGGATGAGGGACAAGGTGTCCTTACCCAACACTGAATGATGCTTAAAAGCATACTCCATCTTTCAGACCAGGTTTCATGTTGCACCCATTAATATGGGGGGGGGCACGGGGGACATGAAACATTGTCAGCATGCCGAGCCCCCCCCCACCCAAAAATTACACCCCGCTACTTAATTGGCTGTTCTTGGCTCTTGCCTGCACAGCCATGTCATACTGTACATTCATAGGAACAGTTGCAGAGGGACTGTATTTCACAATGGAGCACTAGTACGCTGTCATCGCACTTGTAGTCCATTGATACTTCCTCCAGCTTCATAACATAGGCAGGGGCTGGGAAGAACCTGCAAAAGCCAGCACATTGTACCTATGATTCACTGATTGTGGTTCAATGCTTTGCAGGTTCAAAATAATAAACATACATTTTTGCTTTTTGCAATATTGGTGCATATTTTTTGCAAACCTAGAATTCTCCTTTAAGCTGTCAGCAGTGCAAAAAAGTAGAAGCATTGCTAGTCTAGCCACAGCAGTAGACATGGATGGTGGGTAAATCTTCTGATTACTTTTTTCATACAGTGTTAAAATGATTTTGCCAAGATTATGTAAATCAAGCAGTAGTGCACTGTACCTTGAGCTAGAGAGTAGAAGCACCAGTTCACTCCAGGGATGCTGGAATCAAAGCAACAGTTCTTGCTGGCACATTGTGATGCGCTGATCCCAGGATACCCACAGTTCCTCCTCAGATAGGGAGAGCCACCACACTCCTGGGTGTTATCTAAAAGGCAAGCATATACATAATAGCTGGGCTACCAAAAGTTTTAACACTTCAAAGATTTGTTATAAAGTCTAAGTGTTCTTATGTTTCCAGCCTAGCCATGTATATTATGATTTACCAAGTTAGGAAATTATAAAAAAAGGTTTAATATTGCATTTTACCTTGGCTTTTTGGATAGAAGCACCATTTAACTCCACTAAGAGATGAGTTAAAGCAGCATCCTTTAGAACAACACTCCCTTTCAGTAATTCCTGGATATCCACAGTTTATCCTGTCAGCCGGACTCACTGAGCACTGAGCCTTATCTGTAGCAAACAAAGTGGAGTAAAGTTGAAGTAGGATTAGACAAAGTTCAGAATGGGTATGGGTTATCAAGTTGTCACTGTAAATCATCCGTATTGCCAAGGTCATCAGCCAACAGCAGCCAGGAATGGGGTTAGAGAAGTCCTCAGACTGGCTGTCAGCAGCACAATGACTGGTGAGCCTTGCTGGTCTACACGTAGTAGAAGAGTACATGGTGGTCAAACCTGCTCTGCTTACTTTTTTGAAAAAGCGTTGGTAGGCAGGTGCCTACAAATGAGCGGTTAGAAATCCTGGGCTACCCGGGTGGGGAAGGGTTAACGCTAATTCTATGCCTTTCCCGGGTATTGCCTTTCACCTGTGATTGATATAAAAATATGGGGAAGGCACTGCTCAGGGGGGACCGCATGGGGGGGGAAAAAAAAAAAAAAAAAAAAAAAAAAAAAAGCGGATCCAGAAGTCCAGAGAAGTAACCACAAGCAAGTTGCTAGCACCTTGCATGGGAGCCTACCTAAAAAAGGGACTCTTCCAGATATGGACTACTACCTGGAAAGGAATGCCTGGCAACCTGGGACTAGAGAGTGAAACTGATGTGCACATTGGATTGTATTATTGCAGTGTTACTAGTAAAGTTGTTAAATGGTCAAAAGGCTGGTCTAAAGTTATTGAAAAAAGGGGTGCATGGTGGTACATGGCATATTGAAGGAGAACAGGGCCTGTAAGCACAGACTGTGGTGAAAAGGGAATGCAAAAAAAAAACATCACAAAGTTAACTGGTAGTGAGGGGGGATTTAATTAAAGGAATGTAGTTGGCAGGGGCAGACTGACAACTCATGGGGCCCCCGGGCAATAGGGGATCAGGGGGCCCGTGTCCTTGCCCAAACAAAAAAGCCTATGAAAGAAGAAAATGCTTTAAACAAAGTGTAGCATGGTGGCCTCTCATGGGGCCCCCAATATGACCCCGTGCCCTTGGACAGGAAGCCTGTGGCTAGCTGCTGCACAAGGTAGCAGTGAACTCTAACTCGGGGTTTTGCCTTGATTATGTTTCAAAATGCAGTCCGCCTGTAGGCATTGGAGATGCGTTCATGGTAACAGATAGCATAGGCCCTGGCCTGAAAACAGGTGAAATGTTACAAGCAGCCAGCCAGTCAGTGCAAAAGTGAAACCCAGGTACAGGTGAGAGTCCTGGTAGTGAAGGAGGGTCGTTACTCAAAAGCAATTGGTACTGAATCCCATAAATACAGAGACCCAATGGACCCAGCCACTGGTATGGGTGAACAAGGATTTAATCAAGTGCACGCATGAGGTTTGTGCTTTGTGCACGTTAGGACCTCATTCTGTCCCTGAGACAAGATGGGCGACCATTACACTCCTGGGAGTGAAGTGGCAAAGTAATGCTTTACTGGTGGAGTGGAGGCACCAGCTCAATGGTGTAGAATGCCCTTCTAGGAGATGAGTGCAGCAATATGGGACGATGTGTCAAACAAAAAAGGAAGTTACATGTGGCTATGCTGCTGCACAAGGTGAGCAGCTCAACTCTAACTCGGGGTTTTTCACCTTGATTATGACTTTCACATCAATGCAACCCCACCTGTTCCAGGCATTGGCGATTGCGTTCATGAGTAAATATAACCCCACATGCAGATAGCATAGGCCCTGGCCCACATGTTAGTGAGCAGTTGAGAACTTGCCATGATCATGTACAGCAAGTGGCATTGCACTGTACCTTGTGCCAGAGAGAAGAAGCACCAGTTTACTCCGGGGATGCTGGAATTAAAGCAGCAGTTCCTGCTGACACATTGCGCGGCGCTGATCCCAGGATACCCACAGTTCCTTCTCTTATTGGGCGAGCCATTACACTCCTGGACTTTAGCTAAAGGCAAATGAATTAAACAAAGATGGTAATAGCCAGGCAGCCAATAGCTTTAGAATGAGACGATCTGCTATAAGGTATAGGTGTTGTCATGGTTCTAGCCATATACAGTATATTATGATTTATCATATTAAATAAATTATAGGAGGATGTTTAATATTGCATCTTACTTTGGGCTTTTGGAGAGAAGCACCATTTAACCCCAGGAACAGATGAGTTGAAACAGCATCCCATAGAATAGCACTCCCTGTCTGTAATTCCTGGATATCCACAGTCTGTTCTGTCAGCTGGACTCACAGAGCACTGAGCCTTATCTGTAGAGACAAAGTGGAAATAAGAAGAGATTAGACTATTGGGAAGGGGGGGAAAATGGGACAGTAGGTAGAAGTGTAGAGATGGGTATGGGTTATCAAACAGTCATAGATCTTCTGTGCTGCCAAAGTCAACAGCCAGCAACAATCAGGAATGGTGTTGTAGAAAGTCCTGACAGGCAGAGCAACAGCAAACAAAAAATGCAAAAATCAATAGGTAAATGCATAGTTGGACAACATTAGCTGTTAACGGCAACAGCACTGTGATTAGCTAGTCATGTTGCTGTAGACACACATGGTAGGCAAAATTTCTCTGCTTACTATTTCTTCTTAAAGTGTTAGTGGCTTGGTAAGACACCCTTGGCTTGTACACCAAGCAGTTTAGAGTAACAGGACCAATTGTGGTTTCGACTAACACTAACATTTTTTTGTTCTCGCTTGAGTGACACACAAGGCTCACTGTGATTCGCTTGCATGGGGCCCACCAGGATTCCTGAGGTTGCCAAGTGGAAAACTCCAGACCTTGCCTCTGAGACACCATGGGAGAAACCAAGCCTGGCCTGACCAAACCCAAGATCTCCACATTTAGCCTGTTCTAGCTGTGAAGTACAGTCCCAACTAGGCCATGCCCAAGAGTAGATCCCCATTGGTAGAGAACACCATACCAGACTCCTTAGGAAGGAAGTTTACTTAACTTTACAACCATAATGTAACAAACCATACAGGATTATGGTAGCACCCTACCTGAACAAAAAGTACAGCAGTTCTTAAATTACAGGGATGAAGGGAGAGATGAGACCCACACCCTAGCAGTGGGTAGAATATGGTAATTGAATTCCTCCTTGGGAGGAATGCAATCTGTTTTACCTCCCCAGTCCATATAGCTTCCCCCTCAAGGGGGAGCTCATGTTGAGTTGGCTCCTGATTACACTGTTCTTCCCAGATGGGCCCTAGATAAGATCTGATACTCTTCCTCACCAGGCTGAAGGTTGCACACACTAAACTAAAGCATTCCTCATGCTTCCCACCAATCCTTTTTAAATAACCAAAAAGGAACACTAATAACCAGAGCAAGGTTGCCAAGCAAACTAGAACAGGGTACCACCTTAAAAAAGGACTATCCCAGTCACTGCCTAAATTACACTTACCACCACTCATCTTGTGGTGTCTACAAAAACTGCAACAGGGATCCCTCTATATACACACATCACATCCTGCATTCCTTTATATCAGCACTGTAATGTACCTTGTGCCTGAGAGTAGAAGCACCAATTCACGCCGGGGATACTGGAATCATAACAGCAGTCTCTCCTGGCACATTCGGAAGCACTGATTCCTGGGTAGCCACAGTTCCTTCTCAGGTAAGGAGACCCGCCACACTCTTGATTTGCCTCTGTGAAAGTAAAAAATGAAAATATACACACACAGTATATATGCATGCATTTGCAGTGTTGTAAATATTGGTTATTAGACAGTGGCTTTTAGTGTGTTGCATGAAAAACACATTGCTGAAATAGGAAAACCACGCAAATGTGTCCAGATCAAGAGATGAAAAAAATAACTGATACAAAATATAAAACAAAGCTGCAAACACAAAAAGGAGATGTCCCTCTGTCAAAAATAGTGACCTGTGTTGCTCTAAACAATGCATGCGCAATAAACTAAGCAAATTTATTCATCAAGAAAATGCACACATGTATAAAAAGCATAAAAAAAAAAAAAAACCCACACACTTTGTAGAGACATTCTGACAAATTTTGCAGTCTATGCCTTCCTTTCCCTTTGACACAATACCTTTAATGTTTGGAGGGAAGCACCATTTAACGCCAGGAATACTTGAATCATAGCAGCATCCTCGAGAGTGACATTCGGTGGAGCTGATGCCAGGATATCCACAGTCTGTTCTGTCTTCTGGATTAACAGAGCATTGGACCTTATCTGTGCCACAAAGGATAAAGTGAGAAAACATATGCAGATAAGCTTAGTTCCAAAAATTTTAGCATGCAGGTTCTCCACCCTCACCAATAGTACATGTCCTCAAAAGACCATCTAGCTAAAATAGTTTTCTGAAAATACCACCTCAGAACAGGTCTTAGTATGACCAGAGGACCAGTTTGAGAATGGCTGGTCTAGACCATAGGTGTTCTCAACCAGGGTTCCTGGAAACTAGGGTTCCTCAGAGGTTGCAAAGGATTCCTTGAGCAGTGATGGATTAACCTATCTAATTGTGCCTGCATTTTTCCAGAGCCAACATTTTGCAAAGCTAGCAGCATAACACCAATGTTTTTGTAATAGTCTGAAGGGTTGGCATTCTTTCCACTGAGCACCACTATTAGGGGATATTGTTCTAACCGACTCCAAATGTGAAGGGCATTCTTCCTTCCTGACCATAATGTAGGGACTCCTTTTTCCCCCACTGACCCCTAATGAAAGTTTATTCTTCCCACTGATCCCCAATATTTTGAGCATTCATCATCTCCCCTGACCACCAATGTATGGGGGTCCTCCCCCAAATAAACACTAATAAAAGGGTGCTCTGCTACCAATGGCCACTAATGTAAGGGGGTCTTTCCCCATTGACCACCAATGGAAGGGGGGCCTTTCTACCACTGACCACCAATGGAAGAAGACCCCTTCTCCCACTGACCAACAATGTATGGGCTATTCTCCCACAAACCACCAATATATGGGAAGGGATAACTCCCTATATTGTTAATTTTCTATAAAGGTTGGTTACACTGTACATGTGTCTTCCTATAGATGGGAAAGGTTCTTAAGCAAAATCTACGATTTGCCTTTACAGGTGAAACCGCAGAACAGGCAAACTAATTTACCCATTTTTTTTTTTTTTGCCTTTTATGGTCTTGAATTTCTGCTCATGAATTGGCCAAGCTATTCAGCTGAGTATTGACGATTAGGAGTGAGTGGATGATTTTTTCCATTTCCTTGAAATGCAGGCCTTATTGCAAGATTTTGATGAAATGTCACCATTATAGCAAAATGCATTGCTGTCAATGAGGAGGGCAAATTAAAATGTTTATTGGTTTTTGAAGTTGTAATGAGCATAAATGGCCCCTGATGGCTACAAAAGCTCATTCTAACTGTCCTGGACGTCTGTCAAAAACTATCATGGGCTAATAAATTTAACTTGCACTGTTAAAAATGAAAAAAAAAAACTCAAAAAAGGAGAAAAAAAAAAAAAAAAAAAAAAAAAAAAAAAGGAAAAAAAAAAACTCAAAAAAAGGAAAAAAAAGCAAAATCTGAAAAGACAGTACACCAGAAAGAAAAAAAAAATCTAAATAAAATAAAAAAATACTAAAAAAAACTATAAAAACACAAAATATATGTTCTAAATATAATAAAAAGCAGATCACTTTTTTAAAGAAAATTTTCCTTATCAGCTCAATGAGCAAAATTGAGAGTTTACACTTTGGCAAAACTAAAATATCAAGTTCCATGTGAAATCAATTTCAACAAAATCACTCTACTCATCCCTAGTGGTGATTTAGGCATTGGTCTGAGGGAAATTTTAAAAAGCATTCTGTGCCCATTTGGTACTGTACCCTGTATGGTAGGTAAAGGTTATGTTGCTATGGATAGGAGATGGGGGTATGTTGGTGACTACACTGTTGTACCTCTCAGGGGCTTCTGAAAATAGTGGCCACCACTGCTCTGCATTGAATGTTCATAGTGAAAACTGCAGCCGATTTCAGATGCCAAAATTTAGAGCTAAATGAGCATCAGAAACAAACAGTAAGCTTTCATTTTGACCATGTTTAGCCCTGACACTGGATGAAGAAAGCATTGTTCCTGAAGAAATTTTTACGGGATCTTTTTTTCAAGATGTTGTTAAAAGGCCATGGTGCAAAATATATGTGTAGATACATATAAACAATTTGGGTCATTGGTCCTTTTTCGGTCACAAATTGCTTGGGTTTCCAGATACATCTTAGGATATTGATGTCATGAGGCTTTCCCCCTCTTAACCTGTTCAGCCAATTCTGTGGGCATATCCACCCACCTTAATACCCAGTGGCTGAAACATGCTAGGACAACATTTTGAAGTGCAACACAGCCTGATTCAATAGTAGTGCACATAGTTGCAAAATTCTGATTCCACAGTGAGGAAGATTATGGGAAATTTAGCCTAAACTCTCAATATTTCAGTGAATACAGAACAATTTAAACATTTCTTTCCATTATCTGCAATGTATTTACTACTCATGTAGCACCCTCTAGGTTTAGCTAGATAGAGGCTAGAAGGCTCTGCAGGTCAGGGCTTCCCTCCCAGCCTTCAAGAAACACTGAGAACTTTCTGGAAGAGGGGCAGAGGGGAGGAGGCCCAGATCTGTATTTTTGAGGGACCTTGGCCAATCCCCTGGCAGGAAGCTGGGCATGGTAACCAAGCCGTAAAATGTGGCAGAGCCTAGGGAGCAGTGTGCAGTGCTGGATGGAAGATGGACTGAGAGGAGACTGGAGTGTGGAGCCTGGGAGGGGGCCATATGGAGGGGAGCCAACCTACAGGATGGCTGCTGGACAAAAGGATCTCCACTGTCCCAACATCTCCTAGGGAGGACAACCTGTCAGCTGGGAAGGAGCCAGCCCAATGAAAGGCTTGAAGTCAGCTTTAACCCGCTGAGCTAACAGGACAGAGAGTACTTCTACACCTCCTGAGCCAGACAAAAAAGGGAGAGGGGCAGTCAGGTGCAAGACCCAGCTAATGGTTTCTCATCTGGGACTACATGATTGCTAGCTGTTGGAATGCCTTGTCCAGGGATACCCTCACGGTACCTTCAGTGCAGCTGGATGAATGAAGGGGAGGATTCATCTGGGGTCTGAGGAGATAAAAGGAGTCTTCAGTGCTCCTAGACTGTTTTTGATCCACATTGTACAGCATTTGTTGCCAAGTCTGCCCTCAAGTTGAGTTCCTTGGTCATCTCATATCGCTAGACGCCCAAGTTGTTAACCTTATTTAAAACTAAAAACCAGCTCAAGGACTGTATTACTGACTCAAGTGTGCAAATGTGCAAAATGCCTGGCTGTGCAGAGTACCTGAATTTGTCTTGATATTAGCTTCTTCAATCTTAGGCCTCGTACCAATGATGAGAATATCTGATGAATGATCATTCATTTTTTGCATGCTAGTCTCATATCAAAAACAGGTTACTAAAGTTACGAAAATCCTCATGAGACAGGATGCAACTTTGGAAGTGATGTAATGTATGCATTCTCTCACTTCTGAGTATGCGTCACTCAATTTTTTTCCCGTGCAAATACTATAATACACTAAAATAGTTTGTTCTGTTACCTTACAAGAATATTTTTTTTCCCTTGTACATTCAGATATTTTTGCATGAACTGTCGGCTCTCAAAAGCTGTGTACTAACAAATAAATTATTGGACAATTGCTCCAAATGCATTTTTCCCTTTGATTTTCTCATCGTACATACTAGGCTTAAGACTGGGATAAGGAGGGTCAGGCATACTCAACAGTATGCAGCCGTTTATTACTGTCCAATCAGAGGGCTGAGGGTGGTTCTTGACCAAGCTGTGTTACCACTATAGTGGAGGTTGTGGGTCTGGTTCTGCTGTGTGGATTGCAGGTAGAACAGCCCCCACTATTATATCTCAGCTGTGTATTTAGCTGCATGCCCATGCTTTTTAATAAATAGACGGCTGAACTAAAGTTATAAGTTTGCACATTTGCCTGGCTTTCCCCCTGAGCAACCACAAAGCTGAACATACATGCTGCAATTTAAATATGCAATCATTTTTACATGTGCTACAACTGTTTAATGTATGGGCCAACTCAAACAATCCATTCAATCTTTATCCAGTCAGGTCCTTACATTACATGGTTGCGGTTTGTAAATCCAAAAACGTTTGTATTATCAGGGGCGGAATGACAACTCATGGGGCCCCCCAGGCAATAGGAGATCATGGGCCCCCTGTGTCCCTGCCCACTCAAGCTGCACCCACACAAAGCCCCACCTACATATTACACTGCCCACAATACATGCGTTTCACAGAATTTCTCTACAGTATGCTCAAAATGTTTATTACACAAAATAAAAAAAAAAAAACACACACACACCACACACCTTACATTAAAGAGCGCAGCAATGGTACATTTCAAAATGAAGGTTAATTAACTTTTCCTATTCCTCCCACTGACACCAATGATGTGGCACCATTCTTCCCACTGACACCAATGATAGGACATTATTCCTTTCACGGATATGGATAAGGCACTATTCATCCCACTGATACCAAATGATGGGGCATTATTTTTACCACTGATACCAACGATGGGGTGCTATTCCTCCCCCTAATACTAAAGATGCATGGTTTACTCCCACTGATGCCAGGACAATTTCTGATTCCAAAGACCGCAGTCCGGCCCCCAAAAACCTGAAGGACAGTAAACTGGCCCTTTGATCTAAATTTGGGGTCTCCAAACTTTCTAAACAAAGTATATTCATGTGTTAGAATGGCCCAGTCACAGTCCAGACTGAAATCCAATGGACAATCTGTGGCCAGACCTGAAAATTGCTGTTCACAGATGCTTTCCATCCAGTAACAGATCTTGAGTGATTGTGCAAAGAGGAATGGGCAGAAATGTCCCTCGGTAGATGTGCAAAGCTGGGAAAGACATCCCCAAAAAGACTTGCAGATGGAATTGCAGCCAAAAGGGGGGGTCATACAAAACACTGACTCCAGGGGCTGAAAACAAACGGCGCCACACTTTTCACAGATTTATTGGTCACAAATGTTGAAAACCATTTCTCATTTTCCTTCCACTTGACAATTATGTGCCACTTTGTGTTGGTCAATCACATCCAATCCCAATACATACATTGTAACATGACAACATGAGGGATATTTCAGTCGTGAGGAAGACTTTCAAGCCACTGTATATACCACCGATATCTACACGAAGTGCTATTCCTTATATATACACACACCACTGATATCTGTACACTGGGTGCCATTCAGTGTACAGATATCACTGTTTTATATATAGGGAATATAGAATAGAAAACTACTATTAACCCCTTGCCTACTGCGCACTTATACCCCCCTTCCTGCCCAGACCAATTTTCAGCGCTGTCACACTTTGAATGACAATTGCTCGGTCATGCAACACTGTCCCCATATGAAATTTTTATCTTTTTAGACAGCTTTTTTGGTGGTATTTAATCCCCTCAGGGTTTTTATTTTTTTTTGCTAAACTAACCAAAAAAACTGAATTTTTTTTTCAAAAAGTTTAGTTTCGGTTATAAAATTGTAAATGAGTAATTTTTCTCCTTCACTGATGTGCGCTAATGAGACTGCAGTGATGGGCACTGATAAGGCAGCACTGATGGGGACACACTGGTAGGTGGCACTGACAAACATCACTGATGGGCAATGAAGGGCAGTACTCATATGGCACCGATAGGCAGCACTGACTAGCACTGATAGGCAGCTCAGATGGGCACTGATATGTGGCATTTATGTGCACTGTTAGGCACCGATATGTGGCATTGACGGACACCGACAGCTGGCACTGATGGGGCTACACTGGTCAGTGCCCTGATGATCAGTGTAGATGTCCTCTGAGTAATGCCGATTACCGGCTCTCCTCTCAGCATGACAGCTGGTGAGGAGAGGAATGCCAATAAAAGTCATTTCCTTATTTACATGCGATCAGCTGTGATTGGACACAGCTGATCACATGACGGAGCCGACGTCTTTTGGTTCTTTCCAATGATCAATGATCCACTGTGTCCAAGGGACACAGAGCACCACCGATCGTTGGAGTACATCATGATGTCCTCCCAGAACAAGAGAACCGCTGCCCGTCTGTCATTTCTTTATATGGTGGGAGGCGGTTAAGCTGCAGTGCTGTCAGTGTCACCGGGTCGGGGGATTACACACTGATCTGCTGCAGGATACAAGGCAGGTCAGCACAATGACTCCGCTCTTCTCTGGCCGCCTGTCCTGTGGCAGGGATGTGGGACCTGACCCTCTGAGGAAACTCAGAGGAGAGGTGTCTGAAGTGCCTGCCGCGGCACTGCCCCATTGCAACACCTTTTTCCTTTTAGCAGCGGCATATCCAGAGGACGGACTGAGCCTCTCATGGGGCCCTCTAGTGACCACGGGGTGCTCCTGAATGGCAAGTCCGCCCCTAGTTGTAACACACCCATTATACTTTAGAGTCGTATACCATTGGGTGGCTAGGTGTAGTATAGTCAGGTAAATACAAGTAAATCTTTATGAAATACCTTGTGCCTGGGAATAGAAGCACCAGTTCACATTGGGGATACTGGAGTCGTAGCAGCAGTTTCGTTTGGTGCACTCGGAGGCACTTATCCCAGGATAACCACAGTCCCTTCTCTGACATGGGAGCACATTACTGCATTCCTTGTTTGTGATGTTATTCTCTGTAATGAAATAAAAAAAAAAAAAAAAAAAAAAAAAAAAAGTTATGATACACCTAGATCTAGAAGGACCATTAAGTAGCTTCCTTCCACAATTGCCGAGATAAGATATGGGACTCTTAGCCTGCTCCTAGGGATGCATTTACCCAGTCACATTCACACAATTTTAAAATAGGATCAATGTGCACCAGGCCAAAGTAGAAGTCATTGACTCTCACATGGTGTGTTCAGGGAAACAAGTCGTACATGCAGGTGCAAGTAACACTAATACAGAAGTGATCTGTCAAATTAAAGTAAAAAAGCCACAGTGCTACCCCAAAAATTATGTAGCTCAAAAATGTGCAGCCTAAAAAAACAAAAAAACAAAAAAAAAAAAACCCACACACGTTCAATCCTTATATCTTATACTAATAAATCTGTACAAAAAGAAAAAAAAAAAAAAAAAATTTATATATATATATATATATATATATATATATATATATATATATATATATATATATATATATATATATATATATATATATATATATATATATATATATATACACATACATACATACACACACACACACATATACATATATATATATATATATATATATATATATACACATATATATATACACACACACACACACACACACACACACACATACACATACACATTGTGACATAAGGAACCAGATGCGATTTCTCCTGCGTTCAAGGACCCAGGCCGATGGGGACTACCAAAACCAGACACTCAGTACAGCTGAGCTCTGATGAAGGCGGCATGGCCTTTCGAAAGGCGTCAGCTGTACTGAGTGTCTACCCCCATGATGGGATTTGTGTGCTGGCTCCTCATCTCTGAAGTCCCTTTGAGGACTACATGCCCGATTTTATTCGCTGTTTGGGAGTACCATTCTTTAATAAAATTTGGTTGCTGAGGTAATGCGCAAGGTTGGTGCGCTTCTCATTTTTGTTTCACTTAACGCTCAAGGAACACTAAAAGGAAAGTCTGGGACGGTGCACTAAAGCACATATCCACTTTATTGTATAGAAAAGCAACTTAAACACCACATTGTATGCCAGTGGGGGAATAAAAGGTTCAAGCATATCGTGCTTTAGTGTGGCCTCTATGACTTTCCTGTGATATACAGCACAGGTGTGCAAACTGAGCCAGCACACATGCTTAAGGGTTGTGGTGTGCCTACCTGGAGCAGTGCTACCTTTTTCTATGTTACACCCCAAATTTACTGAAGTGTATGAAGAAGCTATCGTAGTACAACTGAGTAGCCCCTAGGGGGCAAGGTTCTGGGGGCCACAACTGGCCTGACCTGCTCACATGTAGACTCCAGAGTTTGTTTACATTTAGTGGTGAAAGGCTCCCTTTTTTGGTCACGCCGGCACATAACAGGCCCTTTGACTTCTTTGGGACCATCTCCTTGCTGGGGGGGATGAAAGTAGATGAGCCCCATAGAGGTTTGTTTGTAATGTGCAGGCATGATCTGGGAGTCTAACCACTGCTCTATAGCTCCCTCATCACCTACTCCCATGCTCAGGACTTAAAAGGCATTTCAGTTCCCCTAGAACTCCCCAATTCAGTCTCTCCTGCCATCTCCTACTGCATCTTTAGGCACTCACCCTTTCAGGGAAGCATTTCCTGCCTCATTTATACTATCTCCATCAACTGATCCCCACACAGTTCTTTGTATCACTTGCCCTTCCTTTATAGATTGAAAGCATAGGAATAATCCTTACTGTTATTGGGGAAGAAGCACCATTTGACTCCGGGAATAGATGGGTCAAAGCAGCATCCTCTGGATTGACATTCTCCAGAACTAATTCCTGGATATCCGCAGTCTGTTCTGTCAACCGGACTCACCGAGCACTGCGTCTCATCTATGAAGAATTGATAATATTATATTTGAAATAATGTTTACTGGCTGCACATAATAGTTTTCAGGTGCCTATGAGGAACTCTTAATCACATATAACTGATGAGTAATTGCAGTATAAGCATTTTTTGCACCTCTGACCTTAAAGTGTTACTAAACCCAGGACCCTGCATCCACTATATCTGGTCTCCTCGGACCCTGCATTCACTATATCCGATCTCCCAGGACCCTGCATTCACTATATCTGGTCTCCCCTGACCCTGCATTCACTATATCCGGTCTCCCAGGACCCTGCATTCACTATATCTGGTTTCCCACAGTACACAGAACATGGAAATACATTATTGTAGTAAATATAAACTGCCAATTACTTCTCATCAGCAGTATATAGCAGTCTTGTGACTCCTATCAGTGTCCAGCTGAGCACTAGTTAAAGCTTGTAGGAGGAGGAGTTCATTCTCCTCTGGCCTTGTGCTGACCACATGCACCCTCCCAAAGGAATTAAAAAAAAAAAAAAAAATCTAGCACATACTAAACTGAGCATGTGAATTGTGACCCCAAAGACTTATCAGGAGATGAGTGGAGGACAATGGAAGTAGGTGAGGATCAGAGAATACAGGATCAGCCAGCCTTTTTAAACAATGCAGAGGATTAACCCCTTAGGTTCCACAGTGAGCATTACAAGCATGCATGGCTACATATACAGACTGATTCTACTGTTGGTTTAGTAACTATCAATCCCACCTTCACTCAGATGAGATCCACCGATTGCGGTTGTGAGAGTTTTACATTCAGGTGAAAGACTCCCTCTCCTGGCCTTGCCACCACATTACAGGACCTTGGACTACTATGGGGCTATCTCCTGGCTTGGAGATATAGGTAGACAAGCCTTTTAGAAGTGGGGCTGTACTGTGCAGGCACGACCATGAAAGGGAGCCTTTTACTGTTGAATGTAAACAATGGAGGCCGCTTCTATTGGATCATGGTAAGTAGGGTAGGATTGTTTAGGTCAGGGGAGAACCAAAAGAATAGGTGCACTTCAGCTTTATAGGATGAGGAACAGGCAAACAGTTGCAGGAACTGTTGGCACTATAATATTGGTGTATTATAATAAAAATGGAAAGGATTGTGAAGCTTAGGAAAAACCTTTACTGTAGTCATTGGGGTAGAAGCACCATTTGACCCCAGGAATAGATGAGTTGAAGCAGCATCCTCTGGAATGGCATTTTTCGGCACTAATTCCTGGATATCCACAATCTGTCCTGTTAGCCGGACTCACCGAGCACCGAGCCTGGTCTATGAAGAAAAAATGGAATTATAATATTTGAAGTAGCAATTAATGTTAACAAGCTGTACATTTTTGCGCTTATGAGGAACTGAGGAAAATTTCCTCCAAAATGTTTAAGTGTGCTCTTAGACAAAGTGTGACTATTCTTTTTGCCCCCTCGCCCTGATCTAAATGATCCCACCTCACTCAGGTAGATTCATAAGAGTGAATGCAGGAGGATACCCAACTAGTAGAAAGTTTTTTCTGCATCTTCGTAAGTGCACCTTTAAGTCCTGGTTGGTGCATTTAGGGGATTATATGTTTTTTGACATGGTTTCCCCTGTATGTGTGTCACTTCCCATTTAGTAGGTCGTATATACAAGAGAACAAACCTAGTCCATAGCTGTCCGGTGTGAGAAATGTACTGAGAGGACTGGTGTACTATATAGTCTGTGTCGCTGTATGTATGCTCCACCAATGAGACCTGTTACCTATGTAGCACCCTCCTAGTTTAGCTATGGTTAGAGGAGCTGTTAGCAGCTCAGGTGTAATAGCCAGTGGAGTGAAATTGTTGTCAGGGCTGAGAGACTGAAGGCCAGCCCTGGAATTTCCCCCTGCTCTGCATTTTGGAAGAGACTAGTAGAGAAAAAAAAAAAAAAAAAAAAAAAAAGTGTACCAACCTTGGGCAAGTTCCATCCAGAAAGGGAGATGGACCTTGGTCAAGCTGATGTTTTGAAGGGGCTCTGAGGAAAAAGCCCCCCCCCCTTCGAAACGCATTAGCTTGACCAAGAGTGTATCTCCCTTCTGGATGTAACTTGCATGTGTCTCCTAACCCAGTTTTGGTTTTGGATGTTATATGCTTTTTTTACTGCTACTCAGTAGCATTTATGAATTGCTTACTGAGGTAATGTGCAAGGTTGGTGAGCTTTGTTTTTTGTTCTCTAATACAGTCTATTGAGCTTCCCCAGCTTCATGTTAGAGCCGCACAACCTTTGATCAGTGATGAACATTTATCATTTTCGATTGGCCTTCTTCTGATCTGGGTCCCTGAGTGCAGGAGGTGTTGGATTTGTGTTAACTGGTCATTTTGGAAGAGCTTTGGAGACTGGGGGATCTGAGGAGTGACTGGCTGCACTCTTGAGGGACCTCAGCCAATCCTCAACAGAAGGCTTGGCAAGGGGCTGGGACTTCCTTAAAGTGTAAGCCTACTCAGTGGCAGGAGTGTGGAGAGAGACAGAAGGAGAGAGGAAGATGTGAGGCAGAAGGAGGCTGCCAGGAGGCCTAGTGGGTTGGGGCCTGCCTGTGAGGCTGGAGCTAAAAAGGCAGAAAAATTGTCGCTCACTGGCCCCCCTGAGCGAGGACTACCTGTACGGCAGGGAAGAAGCAGTCCAGTTGATAGCCCTGGTAGCAGTAGACAACCCACAAGCGGTACAGGAGAGGATCTGAGCGATTACACCTACAATCCCTGGGCGGGTAGGGGAAGGAGCACTCTGGTGGGAAACCAGGTTAACCCACTAGTGACTGTATACCCTTTTAAAAAGGAACAGGAGCCAGATCCCCTGCCCAGGAGAATCTCCAGATTGGTGGGTGAAGAGGAGTATTTCATCTAGGGTCTGGGATGGTACATCAAGGAGACACTGGCTGTCTCTCCAACAGACTGTTGCAGAATAGAAGCTTGTGATTAGTTCCAGGAAGTTTGTCCTCAGTTAATGTGTTCCATTTGGGCATCCTATAGCCCCCTTACCCTATGCCAGTTCTAAATCCCTTCAAACCACAAAACAAAAAGCTCAAGGACCAAATTTCTGACTTCGAATGCAAGCTTGTGTGGAGAATGCAGGTTGCCTGGTTGTACAGGAGTATAGGGGGACCCAAATTCATCAGCAACCCCTAAGGGAGTAGAGCTACACCTAGGACAGCCACAACAATGGACTTTATGCTTCCTAACTGATAGGAATATAACCACAAATCGGCAGCATTAACTACCTGCCGACCACAGATAGCCGAATGACGTCCTCCCAGAACGCGCTCTCCTGTGCGCCCCAGGGGGGCGCGCACCCGGCGATCTCCGTGATCGCCGTGTCCTACGGACACAGCTGATCACGTGATGTGGTAAAAGGCCAATCACAGCGGCCTTTTACCACCTGATCAGCGGTGTCCAGTGACACGCTGATCAGAGGGAAATGCAAGTGCCGGTTCTCGGCTGCACTTTCCTCACGCTGTCAGATCGTGAGGAAAGTACTGCCGAGAACCGGCAGTTGTCAGAGCGGGGATCGGCACCGATCATCAGGGCACTGATGATCAGTGCCCTGATGATCGGTGCCCAGCAGTGCCACCCGCAAGCTCCGCCCAGCAGTGTGCCCACTAGCTCCGCCCACCTGTGCCCAGCAGTGCACCCACCTGTGCCCAGCAGTGCACCCACCTGTGCCACTCTGCAGTGTCACACACCTGTGCCCAGAAGTGCCACCCACCTGTGCTTAGCAGTGCCACCCACCTGTGCCTACAGTGCCCACCCACCAGTGCCCAGGGGTTGTGCCAGTCAGTGCCGCCAGTCAGTGCCCAGCAGTGCCTATCCGTGCCCGCCTATCCGTGCCGCCTATCCGTGCCGCCTATCCGTCCGCCTATCCGTGCCGCCTATCCGTGCCGCCTATCCGTGCCGCCTATCCGTGCCGCCTATCCGTGCCGCCTATCCGTGCCGCCTATCCGTGCCGCCTATCAGTGCCGCCTATCCGTGCCGCCTATCCGTGCCGCCTATCCGTGCCGCCTATCCGTGCCGCCTATCCGTGACGCCTCATTAGTGCTCATTAGTGCTGTCTATCAGTGTCGCCTATCCGTGACACCTCATTAGTACTGCCTATCAGTGCCCTTTAGTGCTGCCTATCAGTGCCGCCTATCAGTGCCCATCAGTGCTGCCTCATCAACGCACATCAGTGAAGGAGAAAAATTACCTGTTTGAAAAATTTTATAATAGAAACAAAGAAACTTTTTTTTTTTTCAAATTTTTTGCGCTTTTTGTATTTATAGCGCAAAAAGTAAAGCGCCCAGTGGCGATTAAATACCACCAAAAGAAAGCTCTATTTGTGAGAAAAAAAATGATCAAAATTTCATATGGGTACAATGTTGCATGACCGCGCAATTGTCAAAGTGCGGCAGCGCTGAAAGCTGAAAATTGGCCTGGTAAAGAAGGGGGTATAAGTGCCTGGTAGGCAAGTGGTTAATATGCGACAGCACAGTCAAGTGCACAGCCAAAAACATGCACTGCCAATAAGGTGTGTTATGTTGTATGCAGCCATGCATGTGAAGTATATGTACGAATAGGTTAGTGCACTTTGTTAATATTCAGTAAATGGAGTTGTTAAAAAAGGAGAAGCTGTCCGTCATTTACTGGGAAGAGCATCATGAATTATAATGTATAGTTAATGTGCATCAAAGAACTGGGAGTCAAGTTATACAGTATGGAACCCTTTGGATTGTAAAGACAGATGTCTTGCAAAAAGTTAAATTTCATTTGTTAATCCTTGAGGTCATCAGTAACTTCGTGCCCTGGAGGGACAGAAGGAGGAGCAGCCAGATAACCATTAGGAGTGGCGAATTGGCAGTTCAGAGGCCTTGGTAGTGAGGAAACAGGTAATACTTCATGTTCCCCACAGTGACTGGGTCTCCATATTAGTACTGAACAAGGCCTGTCTAGGGACCAAGCCTGGAGGCACAAAGTGCAAGGCATGGAGTGAAATGCAGTGGCTTCCCCATGCAGCCTGTGGTGGAACATAAGGTGGTACGTTGTAAAGATGTGAATCAAGGTGGTGGAGTTATTTACCAAGTGTTACTTTTTCACAAAATGCAATGGAGTCATGAGTCGTGACAAGTAGGAACAGACCATGTCACCAGATAAAGAAATGAAGAGGAAAACAGGACACAATCCGCTGGGAAGGGTTAGATGCTGTAAGTGAATGGTGGCATTAGGCCTGAAAGTGTAGCAGCTATTGTAATACACGAGTGGCCCCAAACGAGAGGTTCAAAGGGCCACAGCTGGCCTGACTTACTCATACGCAGACCCCAGAATTTGTTTACATTGAATGAAGAAAGGCTTATATTGTGGCCATACCTGCACATTACAGGTGCTTGGACTTCTTGGAGTCCATCTCCAAGATGGGAGATGGATGTAGATGAGCTCCATAGAGGTTGGGTTGTAATGTGCTGGAGCAAACAGAACCATTCAGCACTGCTCTCTAGCTCCCTCATCAACTACCCCCATGCTCTGAACTTCAAGGCCTCTTCATCTGGATACCCAATCTCTCAGGTATCTCCTACTCCACTTTTAGGCGATTTCTGAAAACTTACCTCTTCAGGGAAGCCCATCCTGCTCAGTTGAATTTTTATTTTCTTAATCAACTGATCTCAGTTCAGTCATCTTTGTATCGCCTGCCCTTCCCTTATATATTGTAGGCATAGCAATAACCCTTACTGTAGTTTTTTTGGAAGAAGCACCATTTGACCCCAGGGATAGATGGATCAAAGCAGCATCCTCTGGAATGGCATTCTTCGGAACTAATCCCTGGATATCCACAGTCTGTTCTGTCAGCTGGACTCACCGAGCACTGAGCCTTATCTAAGAGGAATAAATGGAAATATTTTTGAAATAGCAGCTAATAATGTCCACCTTTAGGTGATCTCCAAAAACTCACTTCTTCAGGGATGCCTATCCTGCCTCAAAACTGAATTATACTTTCATCAATTCATCCCTCCACAGTTATTACCTTTTTATATCACTTGTCCTCCCCTTTAGATTGTAAACTCACAAGTCCCACCTAATCCTTTTGTATTGTATCCATACTGTCTGCAGAAACTGTTGGTGCTATATAGACCATGTACATAATGTAAATTAGAGCATGGAAAAAACCCTTACTACAGTCATTGGAGAAGAAACACCATTTGACCCCAGGAATACATGAGTTAAAGCAG